GAAAATCCACCCAGTAATTCATGTGAGCAACCTGAAGCCATACCACCCTGACCCAGAAGACGACCAACGAAATGCAACCACAAGACCGAGCATCGATCTGAGGCAAAAAGAAACAAAAGAAGTAGAGGAAATTCTCGCCGACAGGGTTAGGAAGATAGGACGACCTGTACGGACGATTCGTGAATTCCTTGTCAAATGGAAGAATCTCCCTACAGAGGAAACCAGCTGGGAACGCGCCGAAGACCTGAAATCTGCAGCCACCCACATCGCCAGGTTTGAAAGTAGTCGGTTGACGGGGTCGTCAACCAATTAAGTGGGGGAGGATGTCACGGTCATGCTCGTCCAGGGCGTGTTGCCCATGGCCGCATGCCTATGGCAAGCCAAACCCTTGTCATGTCTTTTCATTCTAGTGTTTTTACTTCTATAGTTCTAGGGCGTATGACGCCTCAAAAATATCATGTCTAGGCCTGCCAGACATGAAATGTCTCAAAATGTACTATAGGGGGGATATGACTAGTTGTCAACTTCTCCCTACCCAAGGTTATATATGCTAAGCCGTTGTTATCTCTCTCTTGCTTGCTTATATAACGTCTCTTTCAAAAATCTCTCTTTCTAAAATCTCTCTCTACCCTCGTTTTCCAAAACCTTCTTTTAAAACCGAGGCTAGAGGCTCGATCATACGTCGCTTGGCCGTAGGCGACGCAAGTACGAATTGGCTTAGCTCACTTGTCGTTGGAAAGTGAGTGTCGCACAATCGCTAGTCCGCTGCCTTTAAGAGTGCGATTGTGTCACTAGGCTTTCATGAGATTCAGTAGCTTCAAAGACATTGAAACTACAATAGAAAAGAAACAAAAGCACACAAACACTTGTTCTAAGAGAAGCCATTTGAATATGATATGAACTTCTTCTAAGCTTGAAGGGTCATATATATATATAAAATAAATAAATAAAATAAATAAATAATGGTTCATAATGAATTGAAAAAGATCCTAAATTGAGAGTATACTATATAATTAAGTAAAAGTTGAATAGTCTTGTCTAGAGGGTGGTGTTAGTCAATTTAACTCGATTTTCATCTATATTTAGATTTTAAAATAAAGAACTAAACTCACATTCCATATATGAATTCAACAAATTTCTTAATTAAAGTTTTCTATTTAATTAATAATATCAATTTAAGAATTTGATTCTGGAATGTTTTCGTTCAATAAATTAAGAAGAAAAATATTAAGAACGGAAGGTGGAAAGAGAAAAGGTCGTGTAGGATAATCTTTAATTTCTCTATTTTTTCTAATAAAATAATAATGTATAGACTTAAATGTTCATAATAAAATTTTAAAACAATATAGTAATCAACCAGGAAAAATGACTAAAATATGGAAGAGAATATGCACGACTAAAATACAAGTGAGACAATATGGATGAGTATGTTATGCATGATTTAAGAAATTATCAATATGTCCCTATGATGAGATTTGTAATGATTGTTGTTTTATATGTTTTCCGCTGTGTTAGAAAGGATGATGGACTATTGCGATATGTGCTCTGGGTGATCGATGGATGGTATCTCCCCGTTTAACTTGTTTGCTTGTATGTGAGCATGATACACTATGTGTTAGCTTCAGGTGTTTGATTGTGTGTTCTCACTATGGAGTGTGTTTACTTGCACAGAGCTAAGACGTTAGAGTTAGGTTGGCTAGACGATGACCTAGGTTAGGATGTTTTCAGTAGACTGAGCACTTTAGGGTCGTGAGTGTCAATAGAGGTTCTAGTTCCTTGTAATAGCCCACAAATAATAATAATAATAATAAATAAATAAAATAAATATACAAATAATAAAATAGAAATAATTATTGTGATGTGATATGTTATGTTTAGAATGTTTTTAAGACCATTGAGGTAATTGGTGTATAATTGCACGTTATGAAATGACATGTTAAAAGCATGGAGCGTTATGTTATGTTTTCTAAATTGTATATATACAGCATGTTATGAATATGATATCACGATAAATGAAATGAAATGTAACCCGATTAGGATTATGTATGATACGTAGACCGAAAAATGAGAAATGATATGTTAAGCATGAAAGATGATAGTGGGGTTATATTCATTAATGATAAAATTAGAAATATTGGGGACCTCATGTAAAGCCCCTAATTTTCTCTAACCTAATTAGGGACGTTACCTTGCACTCGTATGACAAAAGTATGAAAATTTATGCTTCACGCCTTTTCTTCTCCTCTTCCTCTTTCTTAAGCTTCTCTATGGAATGTTTCTGATCAGTGGATGCACGACTAGGACTGGAACTGTACGATTTGAAGAAAGGAGATAATGAGGAAGACCTACTTCTGCGTCAACGGCTGATGGAACTTGAACAGCTGCTTCTCCTAGAACGAGTAGTGGAATGATAGGGGGAAGGACTTGGGACCCTTCTACTTATCTGATTATGGCGATAGGAATTGGAGCGATGAGTGTACGAAAGAGACCTTGAACCACTTCTTCTCATAAGTTTCAATTGAGTTTGAATGGCTGCTACAAGCTGAGATATAGCATGTAGCTGAGATATAGCATGCAGTACGAACATTCGATTCAAAGACATCTTTGTCTCCATGATTAAGCCTCTCTCAAGATAAAACACCTTGCATGTTCCATTTTGAAACAAAATGCTAAGAATGCTAAGCCTCTTTGCTTGCAATTTCCCAATACTCAGTAGATTGTTCTTCAGCTTTGGCACATAGAACACTCTTGTGATTATCAGTATGATTCCATTCACCTGTAGCCGTACATTACCCTTTCCTGTTACATCCATGCTTGAGTTGTTGCCCAACTTCACTAAATCTCTGAAACTTCCATCAAAATCTGAAAAATATTCCTTCTTCCCACACATATGATTGCTACATCCCGAGTCAAGAAACCATGTATCTTCTCTATTGGTCTTATTCATATTCACGTAAGCCATCAGCAACATCTCTTCTTGAGTCTCTGCATAGTTTGCCTCCTTCTCCTTGCTTTGACATTCCCATTGAAAATGTCCTAGCTTGTGGCAATTATAGAACTCCACTGTGGCCTTGTTGAAGGTTTGTCTGCCTCGTCCCCTTCCTCTGCCTCTAAAGCTTTCACAACCTTGACTCCTTCCTCCAGATTGGTCACCATGAGTGATCTTCCAAGCGTGTTCTTCTTCAACATGAGAACTCATGCGTTGTTCATGCACAAGCAGACTACTTTGCCACTCATCAATAGTTAAGATGGATGTATCGTTAGACTCCTCAATAGAACACACAATATAATCAAACTTAGGAGTGAGAGATCTCATAATCTTTTCAACTACTTCAACATCTTTTTATTCTCATCATTTATTTTCATCTTGTTGGCTATGCTAAGGGTTCGAGCAAAATACTCATTTACAGATTCTCCTGCTTTCATGTAAAGCATTTCAAACTCCTTCCGAAGAGCTTGCAAATGTGCACGTTTTACCGGTGTCAAACCTTGATATTTCTGCTTCATAGAATCCCATATATTCTTTGTTGTATCCTTGTTGAGGATTGTCTCCAAGATCGAACAATCTAATGCTTGAAATAGATAATTCTTTACTTTCAAACCTTTCAACTTCTGATCTTCAATGTGCTTCTTCTGGGCATCCGTGAAAACGATGTCTTCTGTTGCTGCAGAAATCCCATTCTCCACCAAATCTCAGTACTCCTGGGAACGCAAAAGGTTTTCCATGAGTATCGCCCAATGAATCATAGTACCAATCAAATTTCGGAATTGCAGGCTGCACAAATGGACTCTCCATCGACATAGTTTTATCATGACACACGTAGAAGACTACTGCTCCAAGTTTTAACTAGTTTAGGGCATGGCTCTGATACCAAATGTAAGTAACAGAGAGAAAACTAGAAACATTAGAAGAATTGGGAGAAATCTCTCATATTATTGAAAATGAAATTCGCTATTATATAGCATTACAAAATCAAATCGATAGAACTCAATTTGGTATGACTAAATCAAATCTAATCCAAATAACTAAATCAAATCTAATCCAAATAACTTAATCAAATCTAATCCTAACTATTACTTCATTGTTGTTCTATAGCTCTCATAATTTGGTTGTTATTTCTTAGCAAACCATGCAGTGCTTTAGCTCCTAAAACTTTTTCATCTTTTCCAGCTATTCTTATATTTGGTGATTGATACCGGAAATAACAACTTCATTCACACTATTTTTAAGGCTAATTATGCACCATACGACAAAGATTTTCTGGATCATGTTGCTACGGGAAGGTTTAGTGATGTAAAACTCATCCCTGATATGATAACTTCTAAGTTAGGCATAAAAGAACTTGTTCCTTCATTTTTGGATCCAAAACTTTCAGATGATGATGTCAAAACAGGTGTTAGTTTTGCGTCAGCTGGCTCGGGGTTTGACGATTTGACTTCTATGATATCCAATGTCATTCATGTGATGAAGCAAATTGATCTTTTCAAAAACTACATTCAAAGGCTTCAAGGGATTGTGGGTGTGGAAGAAAGTAGAAGGATTATTGGTAATGCTTTGGTTGTTATTATTGCAGGAACTAATGACTCAACATTAATTTCTACGACCTTCTGACAAGACAACTACAATACAATATTAGCGGTTACCAAGGTTTTATACAGAATAGACTACAAAGCTTGATCGAAGTAAATTATCTTAACATTAAAAACTTTCTAGTATGTGTCTTGTTTTCCATATTATTATTTTTAAACATAATTATGATTGAAAATTGACTGGAAATTTACCAACTTGGATGTCATTATATAGTTGTTGCTGGCCTCCCTCCGGTTGGTTGTCTTTCCATTCAAGAGACTATATCATTTCAAAATCCCCTCCACCGAGTATGTTTGGAGGATCAAAATTCAGATTCCAAAGACTACAACCAAAAGCTTTCAAAGCTACTTAGCAATTTACAATAACAACTAAGTGGAAGCACGATTTTGTACGCTGACATTTATACCCCTCTCATTGATATGGTCAATAATCCTAAAAAATATGGTAAGTCAATTCCGTAAATATTTATGGGAAATCAAAGTTTGAGAACCATTTTCAACTAATTTTTGGTTCCGGGCATTTGTTGAACAGGTTTTTCAGCATATAGATAAGGGTTGTTGTGGAATTGGATTAGTTGAAGTCGAGCCTCTATGTAATGTAATTATCCCAACGTGTAAAGATCCTTAAAAATTTAAGTTCTGGGATAGCATTCATCCGACTGAAGCAGCCTACAAGTTCGTCACTAAATCGCTTCTCAAGGAATTTTTCAATCATCTAAATTGACACCGATGGTATTTTAGCTTAGTTCTAGTACTAACACTCTAGTATCTAAAATTTTTTAATTAATTTCGAGCTAATATTCTTTCGGTCAAGTATTTACAGTATTTCTTTTAATTTAGTCACTGAGAATAATACATTCTATCGATGAAAAATTTGAAGGTCGATAAAATTGTATATTTTTCTTCGTTTACATGATATGGAATGTGATGGATATGAACTAAAGCAAGAGCATATGTCGAGAATTAGTTAATTTTACTTCTCACTTGAATAATTTGTTTATGATCCAGTCATAACTAAGTTTGTAGAAACTAAGACCCCATTGTTCAACTTGTAAAAATTATACTAGTGAGAGAATGAGACCCATTGTTGTAGGAATGAATTTTATCGTGTGAAAATTATGTTTCTAACATTTTATTTGGCCCTAAACTGACGTTTATTGAACCAGTTACAAAAACTATTTTCACTCATACAGATCAAACAACGAGCCTTTACATGTGGGAGTTTAAAATTCACTCAAGATTAAGATAGAGTCAC